GCGGGTGGCCGTGTCCCCCGGGTGCTGCCCGTCCCCGTCCCCGCGTCCTGCCGCACAACCCCCGCCCCGTACTGACCGATCGCCCCCCACAGTCCCTGCTGGAGCTGCACAAGCGGCGGAAGGCGCTGAGCGAGCCCGAAGTGCGGTATTACCTCCGCCAGACCATTCTGGGCTGCCAGTACCTGCACAGCCACCGCGTCATCCACCGCGACCTCAAGCTGGGCAACCTCTTCCTCAGCGACGACATGGAGGTGAAGATCGGTAAGTGGCAGAGGGACCCCAGCCCGGGGACCTGCCAGCCGGGGTATCTTGGTTATATCCCGTGTCCCTGTCCCTCCAGGTGACTTTGGGCTGGCCACCAAGGTGGAGTACGATGGGGAGCGCAAGAAGACCCTGTGTGGGACGCCCAACTACATCGCCCCAGAAGTGCTGGGCAAGAAGGGGCACAGCTTTGAGGTGGACGTCTGGTCCATTGGCTGCATCATGTGAGTCGAATTGTCTTTCAGAGGCCAAGGGGAGAGGCAGTCCCTGTGGTTCTGGTCTCTTTGATTCCTTTGAGCTTCCATGTGACCCAAAGCTCCAGGTCACTGTCCCCACAGTGCTGAGTATTGCTGCCAGGCAGTTCCTGACCTTCCCTAGCTGCAACTTTTCTCTACAGGCTGCTAAACCCTAGCTTCCCTTTCCAGGGGACAGGATCCAGGCACAGTACACGTAGCTGTCAGTGTGTCTAACGCTAAGTGTGTTCCCTCTGCCAGGAAAGCCCCTGGGTGTGCTCAGGACATGGTCACTTCTATGCATAATCCGAGTCTCTTTTGCAAAACTGACACCCTTTTGTCTGGGAATGTCCAGGTACACCCTGCTGGTGGGGAAACCACCTTTTGAGACTTCTTGTCTAAAGGATACATACATCCGGATCAAGAAGAATGAGTACACCATTCCCAAGGTATGCTGCTTCCTGTGGAGGATCTGCTTGGCTCACAGTGGTGCTTGTTCAGCCTCCTGCTGCAGCTGCTGTGTCTGGCACTCTGTGGGCTCTCACGTAGCAGAGCAGGGGCTGTCAGTGCTGGGAGGGACTGGTGCAGGCTGGGGTGGCATGAACCTCATGGAGAGCCAGCGGCTCCCTGCCCTCCAATCCTGCAAAAACCTGAGCTGGGCTGTTGGTGTGCAGGGGTGAACGGACATGGACAAGTCCATGAGGTCTGGGCCAGGTCCCCAGCTCATCCCACTGCTGATGAGTTGGTGTCACTCAAGTCATTTGACATCAGGCTGTGGGTGCTGTTAGGAGCCAGTTCTCTGTGCTACCCAGTTCTGCTTCCCCAGGCTTGTGTCCTGCTTGCCTGATGCAGCACTGGAGCTCTGCTCCAAGGGAGCTTCCCTGGGTTGTAAACCCTGTTTGTTTGTCATTAGTGCACGCTGTCCCCTGACCCGTCTCTAAACTCCACCTGTCCCTCAGCACATCAACCCTGTGGCCGCAAACCTCATCCAGAAGATGCTGAGGTCCGACCCTGCCACGCGCCCGACCATCGATGAGCTGCTGAACGACGAGTTCTTCACCTCGGGGTACCTCCCCAGCCGCCTGCCCACCAGCTGCCTCACCATCGCGCCCCGCTTCTCCCTGGCTCCCAGCGCCATGGAGCTCGGCGGGCGGAAGCCGCTGACGGCGCTCAATAAAGGTGGGTGTGAGTGCCCGGTGAGGCTGGGCTGCAGGGCTGGACAGAGCCTGCCTGGCCTCCAGCAGCATCCACAGCCTTCAGTGTGCCTCCCTCACATCGTGTCCTGGAAACTCAGAGCGTTTTGTGGGTGAGGTGGCTCCCCTTGCTCTGCCCAGGACAAAGCCCTGCATTCAGCTCTGTAATGGGCTCAAACTGGTGCCTGGGAGCTTCCACCAGAATGTGAGGAAGGTCTTTACTGTGCAGTGCCCGAGCACTGAACAGATTGCCTAGAGAGGCTATGTGGAGGCTCCCTCACTGGAGATATTCCAGAATCCTCTGGACACATCCTGTGCCCTGTTCTCTGGAATTACCCTGCTGGAGCAGGGAAGTGGGACCACATGTCCCACCACGGTCCCTTCCAGCCTGATCCGTTCTCTGTCAGGTGTTTTCTGTACCTGGGGTAGGGTGTAAGTGGTGCCTTTGGAAGCCTTCCCTGGTCACAGCTCACACTTCTCTCTGTGGCCCAGGACTGGACAGCCCTGCCCAGGAGCCCTTGCCAGACAAGGAGGAAGCGGCGGGGCTGCGGGAGATGGGAGATGCTGTCACTTGCCACTTGGCTGACATGTTGCAGCAGCTGACTGCAGTCAACACAGCCAAGCCCTCCGAGAGAGTAGCAGTGAGGCAAGGTGAGCCTGGGGCAGCCCGTGGGCCTCATGGGGGGCACAGGCTGTGGGAAATGTCTCTAACAAGCTGCTTTCTTCCTGCAGAGGAAGCTGAGGACCCAGCTTGCATTCCCATCTTCTGGGTTAGCAAATGGGTGGACTACTCGGATAAATATGGACTCGGTAAATACTACAGGTGGCAGTGCTTCAGGCTTTGCTGGTGTCTGGGGGGGCTGGGAGAAGCCTGGATTTGGGGCATTTCCTAGGACTGGGTTTTTAATCACCATATTCCAGTGTGTGTGTCCAAGACCACTGCCGGGAATCCAGAGCAGTGGTCACTGACCATCAGGCCTGGCTACTTTAAGGTGGACAGTGGTACCTGTGCATGAGGTGGCCAAGCTCTCCCCAGCCTGCACAGGGACCCACAGTGGCAGCAGAGGCTCTTTCTGCAGCAGCTGATGCAATAAGGGAGATGACAAATGCAGAGGTAGAAAAGTGCCATTCAGACCTCCCCAAAGAGGAGACCTGGCAGAGACTTGGTGGGGAGGCTGTTAGGGAGTCCCTGGGTGATAAACCATCTGCCTTGGTACTTCCCACTGCTGATGGTCCCCTGAGATTGGAGGCCTCATGGGGTCCCTTCTGGGCAGGTTACCAGCTCTGTGACAACAGCGTTGGGGTCCTCTTCAATGACTCCACTCGTCTCATCATGTACAACGACGGGGACAACCTGCAGTACATCGAGCAGAACAACACTGAGTCCTACTTCACTGTGAGGTCCTACCCCTCTGCCCTCAATAAGAAGGTCAGTCCTGGGGACAGGAGCCCTGGCTGGGGATGGTGACACTCCTGCTAGCCTTAGGCTTTGGTGGCAGGGTTGGTTCCAGAGAGAAACATTTATAATTGGAGGTCACTGGCACTTTGCAGGCTTCCTCTAGCTGGTGACACGTGGTCCCAAGGACAGACACTAGCAGCTCTAGCTGCTATCTGAGAGGCTCATTTATGAGCAGTTTCACAGAAATGCAAGTGCTCACATGACTTGCACGTACCAAAGTGTTCTGCTCAGTGAGTCTGATGTGTCAGTTAACTTTGAGGACTTCCACAAGTTTTTGCAGTGACACCTCAAGCTCTGAAAGACACAAGGAGGGTCTGGGACTGTGGTGGCAGTCCCTATGCTCCCCTCCATGCCTGGGGTCACCCTCAGCCCCTCACAGCCCATCCCTTTTGCAGATAACACTACTGAAGTACTTCCGCAATTACATGAGTGAGCACTTGCTGAAGGCAGGGGCGAACATCACACCAAGGGAAGGGGATGAGCTGGCCCGATTGCCCTACCTGTGCACCTGGTTCCGGACCCGCAGCGCCATCATCCTGCACCTCAGCAACGGCACTGTGCAGATCAACTTCTTCCAGGTGAGGCTGTTTGCAGGGCAGAGCCTCTGTGTGGATGGTGGCAGGAGGGGATGACCTGAGCCAAGGCTTTGCCCAGCACTGGGAGCTGTCTGTGCCGGTGGCCCCCAGACTCCCCTCACAGTGAGGGGCTGTGCTCTGGAGCAGCAGGTGAGCTGCTGTTGCCCTTTGCTGAAGGAATTCTACGCAGGGACCTCATCACACGCTCTGGGTGCTGCCCAGATGGCTCATCCAGAGGAAATGCTGCCCCAAGGAGCTCAGTGACCGTGTGTTCTCTCCCCCCCAGGACCACACCAAGGTCATCCTGTGCCCTCTTATGGCTGCTGTCACATACATAGATGAGAAACGGGACTTCCGCACGTACAAGCTGAGCCTGATCGAGGAGCACGGCTGCTGCCGGGAGCTGGCCAGCCGCCTGCGCTACGCGCGCACCATGGTGGAGAAGCTCCTCAGCTCCAAGTCTGGCTCAGGCCGGATGAAATCTTCCACTTAGAGCTTGTTCTTGCTGGACTCAACATCCGTGCCAAACTGCCCAGCTATGGAGGGAGAGGTCTGGGAGCTTCCCTCCCAGGGCCCAGCTGGGTTCCCACTCGTGGGTGTGGGCTCATTGCCACAAGGAAGCCCCTGCTGCTGAATGGTGGTGTTCACTCTGACTGGTGCCCAAAGGTTTCTTGCTTCCCGCTCCTAACAAAGTCTATTTTTTAATTCCCTACCTAGTCTGTTTTTCTAATTTCCCAAAGCCAAAAGCCCAGCTCCAACCCAGCGCTCTCATTTGAGGTGCCTGGGCTGCTCCTGAGAGAGCAGAACTGTCACGAGAGGTGTCTGTTCACGGCTGTGCCCGTGCTCTGGGCTTCGTTTCCTCTGGTGGGAGCTCAGGTAAGGTATTGAACAAACCCAGGGGGGGATTGAGCAGTCAGCCTTTTAATACTGAAACTCCATGAAACCTCAACTTTTGTATATTGCATAACTTGAATAAAGATTGTTTGACACAGCATACACGCTGTTTCCTTTGCCTTGCTGAGAGAGCAGGCAGCACCGCTCTGGCTTCCCCTCTGAATGAGGCATCCTCTTACCCTCACTCCTGGGCTGGGCTTGCCTCTTCCCTGGCTCCATGATTAATTACAGCTAAAGAATCAGCACAAGTCCTCTCAGGCAGCAGTCTTGCAGGAGTCCAGTGACCTGCCTCTGTTGTTCTCCCACCACTGCTCCAGGGCAGCAGCTACTGGTGCTCTCAGGCCAGTTGTTTTTAAGCAGGACAAGCTTTTCAGTTTTTATTTTTTAATTTTTATAACATTTTGTATAAATATATTCTGAAAAGAAACCTGGTACAAACCCTGTTACCTGTGTAACAAAATCCCACACCCCAGCACATACAGGAATCAGACTGTACAAAATTATTGCTGTTCCACAGAGGAACTTGGCTGGCTCACAGGGACCCGTGGCCATGGGAATGCCATGAACCAGAGCACCCATGGGACACCAGCCTGGGCAGCAGGAGAGGCTGGGGAGCTGCAGGCATAGGGCCTGTCTTTGAGGGAAGGATCCCAGGGGAAAGGAATTCCCTCTTTGAGCCCAGAGCCAAGTGCTCCTGCAGTGCTGTACACCTGCTCGGGGGCTCAGGCCTGGCAGAGGTACAGGCTGCTGGGGACCCGAAGGGAGAACCCCTTGTTCTGAGCCCAGCTGAGGTTGGCACCTCCACTGTGGGGCTGCTCAGCCTGGCCAGGCTGAGCACAGCTCCCTGTGACCAGGGCCTGGGCACAGCTCAAGGAGTGGCAGCCCCTGGCACAGGAGAGAACACACAGGACAAAGCTCCCTGTCCCTGGGGACTGTCTCCCCAGGACAGATGCCAGCTTGAGAAAACACGTTGTGTTTTCCTCTTATTTCTCCGAGCGCTGTGTCCAGCTGCGATGGCTTTGTTTTCTGACCCAAATGCCTTCACACTCCAGTCTGACTGTGTTTGTAAAGGTGATTGCCCAGAGGGTCCCTCAGGAAAGCCCAAGTGAGAGCACAGTGCAGCCCTGTGCCCTTCTCTGGTGCCCTGTGTCCATCTCTGGTGCCCTGTGTCCATCTCTGGTGCCCCGTGCCCGTCTCTGGTGCCCTGTGCCCATCTCTGCTGTCCTGTGCCCATCTCTGGTGCCCCGTGCCCGTCTCTGGTGCCCTGTGCCCATCTCTGCTGTCCTGTGCCCATCTCTGGTGCCCTGTGCCCATCTCTGCTGTCCTGTGCCCATCTCTGGTGCCCCGTGCCCGTCTCTGGTGCCCTGTGCCCTTCTCTGGTGCCCCGTGCCCGTCTCTGGTGCCCTGTGCCCGTCTCTGGTGCCCTGTGCCCATCTCTGCTGCCTTGTGCCCATCTCTGCTGCCCCGTGCCCGTCTCTGGTGCCCTGTGCCCATCTCTGGTGCCCTGTGCCCGTCTCTGGTGCCCTGTGCCCATCTCTGGTGCCCTGTGCCCGTCTCTGGTGCCCGGCCTGCTGGGCCCTGCCCGGCCCTGGCAGGAGGACACGGAGCAGGGCCGGGGTGGGAGCGGTGGCCGCGCTGCCCTCCGGCCGTGGCTGTGCCCGCTCAGGCGCTGTCGCCCCTCGGGCCCTGGCTGTAGTAGCAATGGAAGATGCGCTCGTGGGCACAGACCTGCATGGCCCTGTGCGTGTGCAGCAGCAGCCGGGGGAAGCGGGAGGTGAAGTACTGCACGAAGCCCTCGGGGACAGAGCCCAGCGCCAGCCGCACGTCGGGCGGCAGCTCGTGGTAGTGGTGCTTCTGCAGGAGAGAGGGTGAGGTGAGAGAGGACGGGGACAGCGGGGGTGGCAGGGCCACGGGGCAGCCGGGTGGCCGTACCTTGTTCCTCATGGCCCGCAGCAGGTCACGCACTGACCCTCCCTTGTAGGTGCGGAACTTCCTCAGGTCTGGGGTCAGCAGGAGACACGGAGTGAGGTGGGACAGCCAGGGTGAGGGGCTGCCACAGCCCCCGTAGTGCGAGCCCCAGCCCTGCTCCACTGTGGCGTCCCAAGGAAAGGCTGCCACCTTTACCTGCCCTGCTTTTTGGCTCCTGGGCACCAGCAGGTGCCTGCTGGCCAGTAAAAGCACCAGCCCTTGGAGCCACGGTCCCCACCTGCTTCACTGGAGCCAGCAATGAGCCTGGCCCTCCATGCTCACCCATCTGCAGTGGGAGGGAGATGTGCATCCTCCAGTTGGTCCTCACCACCGCCCGTCCCCCTGACTCCAGGGCTGAGACGATTCGCCCCTCAGCTGGCTCCTTCTCCACACGGTCACTGACGTCCTGTGTGCCCAAGAGCAGGGACAGGGGGGTATGGCACTGCCTGTGCTCTGCTGGAGGTGGGACAGAGACCCAGGGATGCCTCACCCCCGCTTAGAGTAGCTCACAATGAACATGGTGACCTAAACACAGCAGTTTCCAGAAGTTTCCAGCAGTTTCCAGAGCTCACCTGCGTTCACTGCCGGTGGGACAGCACAGGCTCACCTGGAAGAACTGCAGCTGCTTCTCCTGACTCCAGAAAAAGGGATGCACAAGGACCACAGGGGCCGAGGGCCGGCGCTGGGGCTCGGAGTTGATCATTGCCACAATCAGCTCCCTTGCAATGAGTTTGTCTGGGGGTGAAACAAAACAGCGGAGAAGTCGCCCCTGTGCCAGGACTGGGAGCCGCCCCCGAGCCCGGAGCCTCCCCGTGGTGTTGTCTCACCGTGAGCCTCCTCCTGCAGGCAGCTCAGCTGGTAGGAGCCCGCCAGGATGTTGGCCTGGCGCCGCAGGCTGTCCCCAAAGGGATGCTGTCCCCCCGACACCACGTAGTAGAAGATGCACCCAGCTGAGAAGATGTCCACAGCACTGGTCTGCAAAACACGGGGGCACGTGGGACCCTCAGGCAAAGGGCGAGGAAACCTTTACCTCCCACTTTCCTAAAATGCACCGCTTGGGGCTCCTGCTCTGCTACCTGCAGCCAGGGAGCCCCATCACACCAGGTCCCTAACACAGAAGAGGTTTCCAGAGGCACAGCCAGAATTCAGGGCTCCACAGCCCAACAGACACACAGGGGCACACGGGCACCAGCATGAGCCCCACCCAGGATCAGCAGCTGCTTCCAGTGGGAATGAGATTCCCAGTTCTGAAGAGAGGAGAAGCGTGACCTTGGCAGCAACCCACAGCCTCTCCAAACTCCCCACCCGAATTTCTGAGGATGAGCCTAATGAGACACCTGTGCTGAGCACAGCTGGGCACTGTCCCCCAAGGGCAGGGGCACGGGGACAGCCCTGGCAAGGAGCACAGTGCCTGCGCTCACGAAGCTCTCATCTTTATTGTGACCTGAGGCCACTGCCAGCATGGGGGACACTGGAGCATGGGGCCCAAGGAGCAGGGGTGGCCACGGCTCACTGACAGGGTTCTCCTTCGGGGCCTCCTGCAGCACCTCGGGCGCGATCCAGCCCTCAGTGCCGGGGATCCCAGAGCGGAGGCTGAAGCTCTGTCGTCCCCCATGAAGCTTCTTGCAAAGGCCGAAGTCGGAGATGACGGCGCGGATGTGCCCGTGGCGATTGGGGACAGAGATGAGGATGTTACAGGGCTTCAGGTCCCGGTGCACTGCGAGTGAGAGCGTGTGGTGTCACCTGGCAGCACTGCAGCAAACAGGGCTCTGCCACAGCCCCACGTGCTGCTGACCCCCAACCCCAGGCTACTGCCCAGACCCCGGGAGACGCTGCCCAAACCCCGCAGGATCCCCTGAGGAGAGGCTGGAAAGGGATCTGCTGGCCCTTACCGATGCTGAGGGAGTGCAGGTGGGCCAGCCCGGACATGGTCTGACGCAGCACCGACACCGGCTCCAGCCCCCGGCGCTCAAAGCTGGGGCTCTCCACGTACTGGAACCACACGCAAGGAGAGGAGCTGAGCCCCATTTACTGGGCAAAGGCAAGCTGGCCGGAGAGACACCCCAGCCAGCGTGGCGGCAGGTGATGGAGCACAGCCCCTGCAGAGGCTCTCCGTGCCCAGGCTCGCTTGCAGGGCTCCCAGCGGGCAGAGCCCCGTGCCAGGCTCACCTCCTGCAGCGTGGCGGAGCACAGCTCGATGGCAATGTAGTGGAACTGCCGGTCCCTCTCCGTGCAGAAGTAGCGGACGACGTGGGGGTGCTCGTCCGACTCCCGGAGCAGCCGGACCTCACGGTCAAGCAGGTGGACACACTCGGGCAGGAGACGCTTCACGGCCACGTCCCGGCCCTCAAACTGCCCCCTGCGCAGGGAGTCCCCGCTGTGTCCGTGTGCCACGGCCAAGGCTGGAGCTCACCCACAGCGTCCTCAGCATCGAGCACTCTGCTGTGACCCCCAAGCCTTGTCACGTCACCGACAGGAAGAGATCTTCCCCAGTGTAAGCTGGAAACTGGACAGCCTCAATTTTGTAGGAAAATGACATCCCTCACTTTTTACTGTGTTCAGTGCTGGAAAAGGGGCTGAGCCAGGAAGCGTGCGAGGGGCCAGAGCAGCTGCAGGCAGGCTGGGAGAAGGTGCAAGGAGGACTGCCCTGTGTACCCAGTGCCCGGTTAATGAGGGCCACGAGCCCAGCTCCAGGATGGGCGGGATGGGGACCAGAAGAAGTTGAAGGTGTTGAGCTGTTCTCAAAAGTCCCTGAAAAGTGGCCACCACCCTGGGCGAGGGCTGCCTTGCCATGATCCCCGTGGCTCCCAGGGAGAATGGGAGCAGAGCAGGGACAGGCACCCAGTGTCACACACCTGAAGACAAAGGTTCCTCCAGCTCCATGGCCCAGCACATTTTTGGGGTTAAAAGAAACTTTCCCAACTACAACCAGATCTGGTTCTGCATCTGCAAGGGAGAGAAGACAGCCATCTTCCAGCCTGAGTGTCAGTTCTGTATGGAGGACACCTGTTTCTCTATTCATCTGGCCATTTCTTGGGACCTACTCTTATGTAGCCCCTGCTTATCCAGCAGCAAATCTGGCACCTCCCATCCCAGGTGGGCTGCAGCCCTCTCATCTGTGGGCATCCCTGCGCCTGCTCTGGGTGCTGACATCTCTGGACAGAAGTGTCTCCACAGGCTGCCCATTCCCCCTGCACCCACCTTCAGCAGCCACTGGGACAGCCGGCTCTGGGCTGACTGTCCCGTTAGCCGGGTCCTTCAGGCAGGCTGAGGGGCTGGAGCTCTGTGAGAGCTCTGCTGCACTTCCCTGGCTCAGCTCCAGCTCCCTGGGCTCCTCAGGGATGCCCTCCCTGAAGACTTGGCTGGGGTGCAGCATGTCCTGCTGCTGCTGCAGGAGGTGTATCTGCTCCTCCACATGCTGCCGCTGCAGTTTCTGGAACACAAACCATGGGAACACTCAGCCCCACGCCTGGAGCCTCGCTGGGACATCGGCTCTGCTGTCCCTCTCCCTCCACCACCACTCACTGTGAGCAGCAGGACCAGGATTCCCCCGCCCAGCAGAGCTGTGCCAACGCCGATGGCCAGGTCCCAGGTGCCAGGCTCGGGGTACACCTCCAGCTGCTCCCCCTGCGTGGGGTCCGGCTGGAGCTGCCCCTCGCTGCGCACAGCTGGCTCCTCCGGGCTGCTTGGGGCCAGGAACTGCAACACACACCCAGGGCAGGGTGACACAACAGGCACACACAGCAGGGCACTGGGTTTGGGACTTCCCTCCTGTCCTATCCCATGCTGGGGATCCACTGCCCACCCCAAGCAGCACAGACCCTTCAGTGACCCAGCACCCTTCACCACTCACATCGTCGAACACGGTCCTGGCGGGAGGAGCCCTGGGGATGATGGATTCCGTGGTTTTCCTCAGGTTCTCTGGGAAAGCTCGCAGCATCGTGGTGTGAACCACAGGAGGCAGCTCATGGTGCCCTGGGGAGGAGGGGAACACAGACAACCCTCCAGTCACCTCTTGGTTTCAGCATCCATCCCTTGCCAGCAGCCCAGGCTGCTTCACATGGGACCCCCAGCATGGGTAACTGTGAGCCCTGCTTCAAGGGGTCCCTGCCCACCCACACACAGGGTGCTCAGCACTCACTGCACGGGAGGGGACAAGGATGGGCTGGAAGGAGTCCCAAGCCAGGGTCACCACAGCCCGAGTGACTCAGTGTTAATGCCATTCATCCACTGGGCAGAGCAGCTCGGGCTGTCCCTGGAGCACAGCAGCAGCTCGGGCTGCTCCCTGCCCGGCTCCCAGGAGCTGGACACGGGTGAGCCTGTGCCTAGCGCGGGTCCGCACCTATGAGGAGCCACTGGTTGTGAAGTGAGGTGATGCTGCCCTGCGGGTACTTGACGTTGGTGCTGGGCATGATCTCGCACTCCCCGGACTCCCTCATGGTCACGTCGTCCGTGGTGGGGCCGTCGATCCTGGCCAGCGTGATGCCCTGGGGCTGGGGACGTGGCAGCTCGTGGGGCACCAGGCGGCCAGGGCGGCTCAGCCCGGGGGGCAGCGAGACACTCACCACCAGCGCCACGCTGCCGTGCACCAGGGACGTCACGGCGTAGAAACCGGCCGCGTGCTTTCCCACGTAGAGCGCTGGCCTGCGGGGCAAGGACAGGCATCGCCTTCCGTCCCTCACGGAGCGGGCGGCCCAGCACGGGGAACACGAACGCCACCGGCTGCCACCGCTCAGGAACCACCTACAGCAGCTGCGTCTTGGTGGCGGCGAAGTCCTTGACGGACTGGTAGCTCCACTTGAGCACGTGGATGTCCTGTGACTGGAAGGTCAGATAGCGCAGGGTCTCCATGGCCAGGTTGAGGTGGGGGAGGCGGCGCAGGCTGTCCTGGTGCCACAGGTAGATGCCGACCACAGGTGAGCCGTAGTTCTGCGCCCACAGGACCTCCCCGCTCTCCTTGTCCAGGGTCACCACCAGCCCGTCCCCACTCGAGGCCAAGTGTGCCATTTCTGGAGAGAGCCAGGGGGATGAGGGATGCAGCAGCTGGTCTGCGTCTCCTCTGGTCACCCTCAGTTCTGCCACCGGCCATGGGCTGCTGCCTGTTCTCCCCAGCAGTGGGCACAGCTGAGACCTGCTGGCCCTGGCACTGTCACCCCTGCACAGCCAGAGTCCTGCTGTGAGAGGGCACTGGGGAGCTGGGTGCCATGGCTGCTGCAGTTGCACTCACTGTAGTGGTAGGACTCCTCGCAGAGCGGGGCCGAGTACTCAGAGAAGGTGGCATTCCAGCGCAGTTCCCGTGACTTGGTGTCATACATGGTGATGATGTACTCTGGGGACAGGAGCAGGGCACGAGGTCACCTCCAGCACCCATTCCTGGCACCAGGTGGTTGATGGGGACCTGGCACTGGCTTACGGGTCCGTCCGATGTACAGCAAGGGGCTGGATGGGCACAGACCATCCCAGGCCTCTGTGGAGAGGGTGGTCTGCTTCTCCCCTGACTTGGGGTCCACAACGAACCACGTGTCCTGTTTCTTCCCTAAGAAGGAAAATGCCTTCTTTGTAAGTCCCCGCAGCCCCACCTGTCCCCAGGAGCTCTTCTGAGCTGCCTGTCACCCTCCATGGCCCACGGGACCCCCGGTCAGCGCGGTCCCCCCAGAGCTCCGTACCGGTGTAGAGCACCCCGTCCGAGCTGCGGCACGGCGACGCCTGCACCAGCTCTGGGATGGTGAACGGCAGCTTCTGCAACACAGGCAGCAGAGCAGGTGCAGGGCACCTCTCCCACCCAGGGCACCCCAAGGGGTCACAGGGTGCCCACAGCCCCACAGCCCTACTGACCATCAAGCCTTCTTTGTTCTTTCCTCCCAGGATATACAAGCTGCCATCATTGGGGTCTGGAAGGAATGCTGGCCTGGGAAGGAGGAGAGAAGGATAAAATGTGAGCTGCCCCCAGCCCTGGGCACCTCCAGGGACACAGAGGCTCCACAGCAGAATCCCCTTTAGCAGTTTGCTCCAGGGTGAGTCACTGCAGGACTTGACCTTTCCGGACACCTGCAGCACTGGATTTGGCAGGAGATAATTCCCACTCTGGTCAGTCCTGGCATTCCCCAAGCCACCCAGTGCCCACCCACCAGGCTGGTGGATGGCCTGCCTGTCTCAAGGAGCTCCTGCTGTCCTGCCTGCCCCTGAGCTTTCAGGGGGATTTCCCTCTATTTCTCTCCATGCTGGTGTGTGTGGCCGAGCTGAGAGCGCCTCGGCTCCGCAGCAGGAGCCAGCTCCTCCTCATCACCATGTGCCAAGTGCCAGCACCAAAGTAAGGTGATGCCATGGCACAGGCTGGGCATTTCATTTCTCTGTGGTTCCCCTTTCCTGCTGCTGCTCCATCAGTTTTCAGGGAGCCTCCTGCACTGCCCAGCTGCCTGTGGGGATGACACTCACTCTGCCACATACACCGGCACCTGCAGAATGGGATCTGAAACAGAGAGAGAAGACACGTCAGCAGCGCTCCTGTGAGTGGGACAGCACCACTGTTTACCCAGTGTGGCACTGTCACCCCCACAGCCACGCAACCTGTTTGCCTTCCAGAGCCAAAAGAGACACCAGTGGCAGATGTTCATTCACACTCAGCTGTGCCTGGGGCTGGGACAAGCCTGAGGCTGGGGCTGGCACACCAGGGCTGGAGGCAGCCCAGAGCCCATCCAGCAAGAGCCAGGCCAGGGGAGCATTCCCAAACCCCAAACATGCTCCAGGAGCCAGGCTGCAAATGCCCCCCAGGCACTACTCACCATCCTTCAGAGTCCACTTGATCTCCCCTGTGCTCTTGCTGACGGCATGGAGGTTCCCATCCAGTGTGGAGATGAAGAGCAGCGTTTCTGGGACAGTCACGGCACCGCCTTTGAGGCTCTAGGACAGACACACCATCCTCAAGAGCTCAGCCAGACTTGGGAACAACCCCCAGCCAGGTGCTCTGCACAGCTCAGCTCCTGGGGCAGCTGCACCTCGGTGACCAGCACCACCTGCACCTACAGCCCCTGGCTCCGCAGCACCGCTCACATCCCACCACAGCCATCCTGGGGCTGCAGCAGCCTTCCTTCTTCCCCCTCTCCCTGGAAGGAATTTTTCCCACAGGTGGGATGAACTGCAGTGTGGCTGTTCCCAGTCACAACCCTGGATGCCTTTCTAAAGGTGACAAGAGCAGCCTGACTGTCGGCTCCTTCCAGAAACAAACGAGCCTGGTGACTTTTCATGCCAGAGAAGTGATGATTGCTTGCCCAGGCCTTCAGAGCTGCAGGTTTCAGCTACTGACATTGAGGAAGTAAATGCAAATTCACCTGGGAGGAGGAGCTGCTGCTTCCACGTATGGCACACGCATAGCGAGTGCCAGCTCAGCCAGTGCCACATGTGCCAGCCTCACCCTGTTGGCAAACAGGGATGGGCAAACAGCACGGGACCCGCATGGCTCTGGCAGTCCCTGGTGCCAGGGATTTGGCAGCAGCTCCTGAGCCGCTGGCTGGTCACAGATCAGCACGAGAGGCCCAAGCACGCTCCTGCAGCCCAGCCCCTCAGCCCCCTCACTGCTCTGGGAGCCTGGGCTGGCAAAGCCTGTCCCGGGAGCCTGTCCAGGCTCTGGAGCAGGGACAGCCAGCAGCCTGTGCCCAGCCAGTGCCTACACACGAGTCTGAGACCATTTGCAGAGCAGAACCTGACAGTACAAGACTGGCTGTGGCGTGGTGGGGCCAGGAGATTCCTTCAGCTGCAGCACAGCACAGGAGCACACACGTCCTCCCTCACAATGCCCCTCACACCAACCTCCAGCCCAGCTCCTTTATTTGCACTTCTTTTTCTTCATTTTCCAGCAAGGTCGGAGTGAGTTTCCCTGCTCTGGCTTTGCCCAGAGGAATGGTGGGGCAGGCAGGGAAGGGGCTGCTCCCCACCATGGTTCCTCCAGCCCCAGGGCCATGCAGGTGGGACTGAGCCGGCTGGGGACATGCAGACACTCTTGCAGTGTGGCCACCTGCCTGGGGGAAACCGAGACTGCCGAGCCCCCCCAGCTGTCACCGCTTCCCTCCCCAGCGCTCTGGGGCTTTTTCCATCCCTTCTGCAACTGTTCTGATTCCAGGGCACTCGGGCAAAGGCCAGGCTGTCTGGGCTGCTCCTCATAAAGCACCATGGGCAGAACTGGGAGCACCGGGAGCCGCCACCCTCCCCCGGTGCCAGCCTCAGCCCGGCAGTGTGGCTGTCGCCAAGGGCTGCTCCCAGGAGCCCAGCTTTCCCCGGCTTCCCAGCACTCTGGACTCCGCCGTGATGCCGCTGGGGCCGGGCTCAGCCCCAGGCTCGGGGCGCACCCCACGGACGGACAGAG